TTGATACATACAAAAGCGCTTTATCTTTAGTTTAAAAAGAAACTTAATCTGGCTGAGTTTTTCAAAAATGGCTTGTGCATTTTTCGATAGGTTTAGTTTCGAATGCTAAGGTCACATAGACTTAGGTTATACAGGACTATATGACCTATATACAAACGACATGTGATATGAAAAGAGAAAAATGCATTTTTCTTTTTCAATGAACACGCGCATCATATTGACAAAAGTGATGTGAAAACTTGAATAAGTTGAACAACAACTTCACAGTAGTACATAGCAACTGAGAGAGTATATAAACTTTATACTATAAAGTAGCAGAAATAAAATTGCTGTGCGCTCATTTTGAGTTCAGTGCCTAAGTGAACCTGAGGTGAATGGCCTAGTTTAATTGCATCATGTTCCCGGAGAGAAATCCGGATAAAACATCGTGAAGTCAGCGTCTCAGCTGTCTGAAGAAAAACTTCAGAGCTTTCGTGACCCTGAAATCCGTGTTTTCCAGTGTTCTTTGACCCAAGCAGTTGTTATCTTGCACAAGAAATGGCGACTTTTCTATGTCGAAACTTAATTACATCATGTTCTCGAAGAAAAGTCCGAGTAAAACAAAGTGCACTGTTAATTCAGTCTGTTTTCTGATTTATAAACAATCGACTTTGAAAATCGGAAATGATTTTAGAGCTTTTATGAAATTGTGAACGATTTTATGAGAATATTGAAAATGCTTATTTTCTACTTTGTTAAGGCCCACCCCCCACCCAAAAAAGGTCGACTTTCGTCCAAATTTTGGATTTTTTGTTTGATAGTGCATGTGATAGAGCATCACTTGCGCTATCGAATGCACAATAATTTATTCTGTTTACCATGGGTTTTAACGGTTTTACAGAGATTTTTCTGAAAACCTCTATTCAAGAAAAACGACATCTTTCCAAGAATTCAATTTTTTTACACATTTCAATCTGTAACGATAAAACATATTTCTTTCTATTGTACAGAATGTTATCTTGAGTTTCATTCTGTCACGTAGCGAGATTTAATTATTTAAGATGATAAAAAACATTATTACTCAATGAATAGTTATGAAATACACTTGTAAAAAGTATTTTGCGTTTTTCTCAAAATGAGATTTTTTACTTTTACATTTTCGTGCATCCCAGATTTCTCCGCCATTTTGAAAGCTAAAAAGCTCGGGTTTGTTTTAAATCATAGCTAAAGTCTGATACTACAACTTAACAGAGCCCGATTCTTCGATTTCAGAATTGACGTCAGATGAAGAGAAAATGTTTGAGATCCTACACCCCAGTAATTTCATATCGTGATGTAAAAGTTCTATAAAAAATGAACTACAGAGAAATTAAAAAATCGGCCTCTGTCAAGTTGTAGCCCTACATCTTAGCTACATTTTAAAACCAACCCGAGCTCTCTAACGTTAAAAATGGCAGAGAAATCTGGGACGAACGAAGACCCATTTTTGGACCTTAATTGTGAGCTAGCTCTTGATAGGTTTAATATTTCGAGCTGAAATTTTTACTGTGAGGTCATCATACCTAGATACACCATCTCTGAAAGTTTCATTAAGATCGGATGCTCGTAAGCAGAAATGGATTTTTGGGTGGGAGATGGGCCTTAATTCAGTAAACATTTTTCTGATAGATATTTACAGAATTTTAAGAAATTTCGGCAAATGTGATTGTAACCTGTATATTTGAAGTTGTCATTTGTACGCATTAGTCCCTGTCACATTATGTGTTTATTTTGAACAAAACTCGTTTTTGAAATATAACTAATTTGAATAGTCACCCGAGAAAAGTTTAGCCTGGGAACTCTTTCGTGCACTCTGCAGTTTTGGTCAAAATATTTACTCAAGTTCAGCTACAACATAAAAAAAACTAGGTGGGTTTTTATTTTGCGAAGATCTTTATAAAACTTGGCAGTTAACATAAGACACTCATTTACCTACCGGATAATTTCGTTTTCTAGTTTAAAAGAAGATGCTAGAGCGTAGGTACTATTCAACTTGTCTAATTCGACAAGCTGAGCCGTCAAAATTTAGGCATGAACGCTGTGATATTAGTTTGTTATTCTATATCCTGTGCTAAAACGAATTTGTTTTCATTCACAGCTTCGATCACAGTATGGAACCAGAATATGTGTATAAAATACTAGTTCAATCATTACCTGATCCTTTACCAAGGATCATCCCATATCTAAATGATCTAGACGCGCACGACGGTTATGTTCATTTATCAACAGCTCAGCAAGTGCCCTCTACCACCTCACGCTTCTTCAAAGACTATAATATGGTTTACATCTTAAAAATATCATATCCAGCAATCAAAACTCAAGTGAAATGGGAGAATACTGGAAATCATGGAAGTTTTCCACATATTTACGGCGATTTTGTGGCGGACTCTATTGTAGATCAAAAATCATTTACAAATAATGGTAAGGATTGGCAACATGTTTTAGAAAATGAAAAATGGATAGAATAATATTCTATAAATAAGTCGGTCGCACTCAAAAACATTGTTTTCCATTATTTTACTTTCATCTCATTATCAAATTAGGGTTTTTGCCCCTTTACATTTGTAACATAAAAACTCTTTAGTGCTCTATCAAATTTTGGTGCTGACGCACAAATGAACGACTTGTTTCTACTTTCAATTTGCAATTGTACAATTATGTAAACGATACTACAGCAAGAAAATTTAAAACAAATACAGAGTTAAAAAGATCTCTCATTTAACGAACGGAATTAATATAAACTTGAAAGTTTAAAGACGACTCTTGAATAGTGATTCGTTCACAATTAGACAACTGAAATAAAATGAGGGCAGAAAAATTAGCGTACTTCCAGACCTATAACCACGAATAGCAATTTTAAATTTTCTCGACCACAGATTTTGCTTTTGCCCCCAAATCGTTTAAACGTGGATAAATATCCATATTATGGTCTTTTGAGACACATTGACCTCGTTACAATTGACCTTTTTAGGCACCTTTTGATATTCATGATCAGTTAGAAGCAAACTTTCATGCACAACCATGGAATTACGTGTCTCACAAACGCTATGAATGCCTCCATTCTTGTCAAAATCAGAAATATATATGCTAAAGTTGAATTGAATGAAAAGTTAAAATGAATAAAACGAATGAACTGTTGGAATGAATGAAAGATATAATCTGATTTGGTAAACGAATAGGGTATAATATTTGACGGTGTATGGTGTTAAGAGAACCTCAGTTACACTACACCATCATATTCTGACAACCCCTTATATTCAGACGTCGGTGACTTCATATATTTTAGCTGAATTACAAATTGTTAAATGCACAAAAATGCATAAAGCATAAAAATTCGCTTCACTAGAACAACAAAAGAAAACACAGTAGAAAAAGACTGATATCAAGAAATTTTTTTCGTTCTCTTGCCTGCTTAAATATTTGACTAGTGGTTGTTCTGGTTCGAAAAAAATTTCTATTCTTGTTCTTTTTTTTGTTTTAGAGTAGTGAATTTTGATGCTTTGCGTTGTTATTTGATAAAAAGATACTTTTCAACCTTCAGAAAACTAAAAATTTTCCAAATAATGGAGTGAATCTTAGGAGATTCTTGTATATTGTTGTGCACAACTACCAAATACAAAAAAAACCATGCTTATAAGGGTTATTCTTTGGAGAATGTACCACATGTACATCGACTTTTTACTAATCGTGTGGCACTTTCAGGACTAGTAGAACTCATCACTAGTGATCACGAAAATCATCTTAAAAATCCATGCGGAAAATCACCGCATGGAGTCCTCCAGGTGAGGGCTCCGAAGACTTCCCAGCAAAATTGTTTTTCCTACAACTTTGCCATTTCAAAAGATAAAAAAATCAAACTGCTTTGCAAATATTACACACCAATTCCCCAAGTTTGAAATGGACCGGATAGTGTTTGATCAGGCTTGCGTTCTGGCCATGTATTCGTCATCGTCTCAGTTAGTTTCATGTCTTATAATCAACATTTTTATGTGCAGTTGCAAGCAAGCATATAACGAAATACTTGAACACGACCACGGCAATCTCAATAGTGAAATCGAAGTTTGATTTTATTTGAATCTTGTTATGGAGTTATCCAATATTTAACTAGCAAAAAAAACTATAGTTATATATGAATTATATAAAACTAAAGTTATATATGCAACCATATTTCAGTTTATTTTCATTGAGCAACCAAAAATTAATGTATAAAAAACAAAATCAATATTAAAAAGAAAGAATATAAAAAGATGCAATCTATATTGAAGTGATAATTAGTATAATTGCGATATAAAAAGACTCGTTGTTTCAAAAAACTCTTTGGTTTCATTAAATAAATCTGAAAGAACAGCTTGCCCTTGTAAAACAGAATTTTGCAATTCAGTTACTGGTAATTGGTGAATACGCTTTATATCTTTCAGGTTGAATGCGAGAACATTTTTAACCGCTTTTGAATCACAGTAAGGTAACTTATCGAAATCTTGTCGACCACTAGTAAAATGATACATTCCACCTCGTAAACGGAGTGTCAAATGAATCGTATATTCCTACGATAATACCTTGGTGATCTTGTATTAGCTTTTTCACAGTACTTGTCCATCTCTAAGTTCACTTGTAAAGTGGTAGTTTTCCCAGTAGAAGTTTTCACGAAGACTTGAGACGTTTTAGTGGACTACGTAGCATCAGGCTTTAAGCAAAAAAACCAAACCATATGAAGCCAGAGGAAAAAACGTCACAACTTACCTTTTCTTTAGTAAGTTTTGCCATGATGGCACAATTATTTTGATTTAACTTGCGTGACATGATGGAATCTTCCAACTGGAGTGTTGTACCTTCATCCCAGTTCACTTTGTTCGATTCTGCATTTTGATTTATCGTACATAACCGTAGTTCTATATTAGCAAATTGTCATCGTTTCTTTATTTGCATTTTAATCTTCTCCATATTGTCCGTTACTAGAACATTTAGTACAAACATTTGACGCCAGAAATCCTCACAATCACTAGTCCATACACTTACTTTACCATATGTAATAAACTGATAACCATCTGAAAATTTAGATACACTTAATTTTAGTTCACAATCATTCAATGGTGAGATGGCATTTTGATTCATTGGTCCTATTTCTGTCCATTGTTGTAAATATTTTGATACATAATCCTTCTTGTACTTTCTAAACACCGTGCTAATCAATTCATGATCCATATATTTATTGATTGTTGGGTTTCCATGTGGATCAACAAGCTTCAATGAACGTGATTTCAATTTATTTTATATCTTCTTTTCAACTTTCCATCGATCAGCGAGAAATTTTTCGATTTCGATCAAATCGAATTTGCTCGAATGAATTGCTTGAATTTGAAAGATTAAGTCTTCATAAACAAATGAAGATGGCACCTTCGGAGTAACAGAAGCAGGTGCCGTATTACCCATATGTAAGCGAATAGGTATCTGAAACAAAAAGAGACGATGGTAATGAAAATTAATCCAAATGCTCACAACTATTTTCAAACAGTAATTGTTGCGCATAAAATAAATTGAAGACAGATGGATTTTTCAAGGAACTGAATTATTTTGTATTGGATGAGACTTATCGAAAAAGTTGCGAAGATTAACTACAAATAAAAGTTTTGATATAATATATAAACCAACCAGATCCAACTAGTAATCTAGATCGCAACTAGTCGTGTATCGCTCGATTACAGACGATATGTATCTAATAGATTTTTCCCATAGGTGATGTTTTCTTGAGAGTAGATATGCACCGGTATCGGTATCCATACCGATACCGGAAATACCGACATTTTTTTATTTGGACTTCTTTTGATTGTCTCATTTGAAATGAGATAGTTTAGCGTCATGGATAGTCAGAACACAAAAAATATTCGGCTGTGTATTCTGAGCATGTGTAGAACAACTTACGTACAAAAATCAAGAAAACTTTGGTCTTAGAAAGCACACAAAGCTCTTGTTTTGCATCCCTGATTCTTTCTGGGTGTCCAGGATGCTAAACTATCTCATTTCAGATGAGAAAATCAAAAAAAGTCCAAATCAAAAAAGTCGGTATTTTCAGTTTTATTCACTTTTGATCAAGTTTTGGGGAGAAATCTTCAAAATACCGAATATTATCTGAAAAGTGAGATTTTGACACTTTCGAAGTAAACTTCAAATTTGACCCAGTTACATAGGTTCTCGTTTTCTTAAACACACACATTCGGATTCAGCAGCTCAAAAGGAGTCTAGCCATGTAAAGTTGAGAGTATTTTATCTATTCTAACGCCTAAGCCAGATGGCCTAATTTCGTCCATGGCCGTTTTCAGACCTCTGAGCGCCAAACCTATGTAGTCTTTTGCATTAAAAGATTTCCATAACAATATACATCATTCGAAGCGCCATTAAAAGGCGAACAAAAACATGCATGCGTTCGAAAAACTTTCGCTTCCTCGTGGAGAAAAGTCCACTTTACTGAATCACAGGCGAAAAAGTCGAAATTCTGCCCGTAATTCGCGATTTTTCCGAACAAAACTCAACTTTTGTGCAATAGAAATATCATATCCAGAATCAGGATCAAAAACTGAGTCGAATAATGTGTGTATTTCGAAAATCTTTAACCCGTTTAATTTTTTTCGCATTCCGCTTCCACAAATCATCCGAATTTGCACCAAAAACTTGATCAAAAGCGAATAGAAACAGAACGGAGAAAAGAAATGACCGAAGCGAAACGATTGTTCTCTTTCTTTCTTTCTTATTGTGAATATATTTTACCAGTGTTTCGTTATATTCGAAGTCGTTTCGTCCCATCACTAGCAAATAGTGAATAAAATCGACTGCTTTAGCTGTCTTCAAATAATTCACTGAGTAGACTGCCATCTTCATTCAGAACAGTCGAAACGACTAGATACGTAACTTTTTTCCGTTTTCTCGATGCCTTTATCTGCGTTATAATTTGCCGTATCATTGGATCCGATCGTACAAAGAGACGCTTGTCCGTATCAGTTAAGTTAGCAATATAATCGCATTTCCATGTCAAGTGTTCTCGAAAATTTCTCGTGTCTTTGTTGTACGCTTCTAGAGGTTCTTCGCTTAGCTAGTTCAACGCTACACAGTCATTCCTTTCGACAAGTTCATAACAGTGAAATATTAGATGATGAACCGTCAAGTTATATTCAATAAAGCGAAAGTCGTCGGCATTGAAGAGAGTGAATTCGGTGGGTAAATCTTTAAGTCTCTTCACGTTGATAGTTTCAGTACAGGAGACGGCTCGAAGTATAACCGAAAACACTCTCATTGCCGTTATGTACACTGACTAGCTGTTGCTATAGTTGTAGCACCTTAGTCACGGTCACGTGTGTGATTATAAGATATTAGGTTTCTTGTTACTTTTTTTATGGCTTGTAATTAGGGTGTGTTTATATATACTATTGTTTAATGTTTTAAGGTGGATATCCGACTTACTTCACTGTGTGTATGTGTATCTGTTTTTACCATCCTGTTTCGTAAACATTGGCGTTGGTGGTTTTTACCCAAGTAAGAAAACAAACAGATAAAGTAACAGTTGATATTTCGCAGAAAAGAAGTAAAAAAGGTAAAAGTAAATAGATAATTAATTCATAAAAAGAAAAGAAAACAATATTGTACTCTAAGCATAGTATAAGATACACACACACACACAACATGGGCTTCCACTCATCGTTCTATCGATCTCTGCCGCTGTTACATGTCTTAGTTGCTACGGCTGAACTACTTTGCAGCTTCACATTATTAGTGTTATTTAGTTCTTATCCAACAATATTTTTTAAAAATAGCCAAGATGAAACAAGTGAGACATCATTATTCGAAGGAAGCCTTGGCATAGCTACAACAGTCTTATTTGTTATTGGTTTATTACGTACTATATTAATCTTTCTTATTCTTGGTAATTTCTTATGTTTTAATATTTCTTGCTTCTGTGTACTATTTTCAAAACATTATCGACAACGTTGTTACGCATTGTGCTGTTCAAAAGCATTTCAACGATTTCTGACATTCAATTGTAACTGTCCATGTTATCGTGCACGTCCAAAACTGCGTTTTCGATTACAACTGATATTTCTAATTTTTATGACGTGTATGCGTCTAGTAACAATAATTTTAGGTTTTACAGCTAATATACTCGTTACAAAGACTGAAGCTGTCATTATACTCATATCATTTCCATTCTTGATCTTAACTTTTCTGTTAGATTTTTATCATTTTCGTATGTGGTGGCATTATACACCGGCAATTGATCAACAGGATTCAAAAACATTATCAAAAAAACATAAAAGATATCTACCCCATTATCTATTGGGTGTGAATCGAACTGGACAGCATGGTGATAAACTTTGTAAAGAAGATACTGCATGTACAAATCGAAAACTGGAACACATAGTTATGTTTCATTTAAGTGAGTATCAACCACAACCGAGATGGGCTGAGTTAAAACGATTGAATCCAGCTATTGATACATATATTGGATTTGCGAGCATCCATTAAGGACATTTGGGCAAAAACGCCAGTGCCGAACGTAGGTTTAACGAGAAAAAAAATTCCCGACATTACAGCTTGCAAGTTTTTCCAGAATTCGTGTTTTTATTCATGTTTCTCTTCCGTCTCTCTTTTTCTCACGAGTGAAGTTCAAAAATTGTTCACCAAATTTTAAATAAATATCATTGGACTAGACGTTTTCCAGGGTGCTGATTTCGAATCTGATCATCGGCGATGCTGCTAGGCGTTTGAGATAGGGTTTCTAGAACTGATTTTCCATACCAAAGATCGTTGTTTTTTGTTCCATAGATATTGTAGAGCACCGGAAATTGTCTATAAAACAATAAACATGGTCATTTCAAATTCATTTTCAAATGGAATGCAGTCATAGTAGTAGTGTAAACGGATCTATCTACGCTCATGACCCATTTTAAAACAGAAATAACTGAATGCAGCAACGCCGATGGTTAGATTCAGAATCAGCACCCTTGAAAACCTCTAGCACGATGTCTTTTATTTAAGATTTAAGAGCAAAGATCGTGAACTTAACTCGTCAGTAGAGTTAAGTTACATTTCGGTTAGAAAACTGATTAGTATTTTTGATGATGGCTGAGATGCAAATAAGGTTCAGAAAATAACTGTAAATTCGGTGACTGATTTTGCGTATAAAAATTCCTGGAATCCAGTTTCACCGGACTCACGGCAACCCTTTACTGCATGTCCTATAAAAATGCTTCGTTTCATCGTACAACAGCTGATTCCGCTGTATCAATAGCACACAGTGAATTTAGACGATCAACTAACCCTCCACAAATGCTTGGTTTTGAAATTTATTTTGCACGTTCGATTAAGGGTACGTTCGGTAAAGCGCGATTTAACGGTGCGATTATTGCAGCTGAAATACGTATGGGTAATGTAAAAGAAGTTGACTATAACCAGTTGAGTACAGTGAGGAATACGGACAGATGGTATCCGGAATTTAACACAGTTTACTACGCACATCAAGATGATCAACGTGATGAATTTTGTATCTATGATGAAACTCAAATTATCCGATGGATTATTGTTATTGATGAACGGTACGATAGTAAACTACAGGAATATGGATTAAATGTTGAATATAATGATACAAAATACTTTTGTTGTTAAACTCGCTATTTTTTCTCATAGTGTAGACCGCTTTCATCAGCATCACCAAAAGTCATACCACATTCATCGATTTCCACAGTAATTATTATAGCATTTAATTTTTCTGAATAAATAATAATAACAATAACAGAGATAGCCATGCATGGAAATTACGATAAAAGAGAACGTAAACTAACTGCGTATCTCCATTTTTTATTTCTTTTTCAATAAGTACAAACAATTGAATCTTTTTAATACTTCACATTTACTACCAATCCCAACCGTAAAGGCGGTGGTTCGTTTTCCTGTCGGTTTCCTTAAAGTTAAATTCCTTTTCATGTCATCTCCCTAACTAAGACATCTCAACAAACTTAATCTTGTAATATTTATTTTGCTTTTTAGGGCACCAGGTGCTAATACGTAACAAAAACTGTACATAATGTTCAAAAACCGTGCCGAAAAGGGAGCAGAAAAATGCCCCTTGCTTTTTTTTTTTTTTTCTGAGACACCATATTTACGATAGACTCTCCCCAATAGATGACGATTAACAGAATCATAGGCTTTGGTAATATCAATGAAACACATAAATAGAGATTTATCAAATTCTCTTCGTTTTTCTATGATCATCTTCAGTGTAGAAATTTGGTCGCTCGTTGATGGGTTAGATCGAAAACTACACTGAGCTTCTAGTAACTGATGATCGACCATCAGTTGAATACGGTTCAGAATAATGCGAGAGAATAATTTACTAACCACACTAAGCAATGCAATTCCACGATAATTATCACATAGTTGTTTCTCACCTTTCTTAAATAACCGAATGAGAATGTCTAAGTTCTAGTCCTCTACCATTTCTTTATTCTTCCATATGTCAGAGAAGATTTCATAGAGCCATAGGATAACCGGCTCACCACCAGCTTTAAGGATGGTAACGGTAACTTCATCGTTACCAGGTGCTTTTCTAGACTCCATTTGACTTAGTGCTCTTCTTACTTCTTCCACAGAAGGTTGAGCATTTTGCCGTTCTTCCTCTGCCTGTGGTATATCGTCTATTTGGATCGCATCAATCAAATCAGGATCGACTGTTGACGAAACCTTGAGTAGCTCGTTAAAATATTCCCGCCACCGTTATAGACGGTCAGCTGAATTTACCAACAGATTGCCATTTTTGTCTTTGATTGGCATATTTTCTACTCTTTTACTTCCTCGTCGAAGACGTCTTATGATGGAGAAAGCAGTTGCTGGATCATGAATTTTAATAGATTTTTCTATTTCTTCGCACACTTCATCCCAATATTCCTCTTGACGAACATCAATTTTATTTTTTACTAATTTTCGCAGGCGTCTGTACCTGTTTCGATAATCTATCTCTGACGGAGTGCCACGATGATTCTGCCAGTTTCCGAAAGCTAATGAATTCCGGTCTACAATTTATAATATCTCATCAGTAAGCCATTCTTTTCTCTTATGATGAGATCCATCTAATTTAAAGTGTTTCTCTGCATTTGCTTTCAGATATTCCACAAGTAATGCATATTTGTTGTCCGTAGTAAGAGTCTCATCAGTTGCATCAGACAAGGTTCCACCGAGATCTTGTTGAAACAGTTCTATTGCCTTCTCATTTTTAAGTTTGGTGGTGTCACACTTCACTTTCTTCTGTGTGACTGATTTTCTTCTGCTTTTCAGATGCAATTTAATCTTCGCAGCATATCAATTTAAATAAGCATATCGCCCGTTGAGACTTTATTGCCGTGTTTTGTAGATCAACGTAAAATTGATTACTTACATCAATCATTTGTTTAGTAGTTGGATTCACTGTGAAGAGTAAATCGAAAGCACAGTAATGTTAATTGGAGCACACTGTAGTCTTATCTTGATGATTCTCTTACTCACAGCTTACCATTCTGATCCAGAGTCCTTCCATACCTTAGTGGCATCGTGATCCAGCACAATGTCCACGCTGTAAGCACTTCTGGTTTTATTTCCAGATGGTAAACCAGAATAAATCATAGTGTAATCGTTTATCATTTTCACTCGAGAATCATGAGTACATGTTCCAGTAAGGACAGCTGTTTGTATTTGGTATTTCTTCAATTGTTTGATAATGAGTTCTTTCTTCGACTGTTTCACACATGATCTTATATTCCATCCGCCAAAAAGTACACTATTCTGTGCGTTCGCACACCGATTCTGATTCTTTTCGTTAGCAAAAGGGTTTTAACGTCTGATTAACGGGTTGCCAGCCGGAGAATCTGACAGTTGGCAACCGACAGCTCAGGGTCGCTTTCCCACTGTTGTAAGTAACAGTGAACCCCTGTGTGAATTCGAAAATTCACCAGGCAGGCTGAGACTAATCGGGTCGCTGCATGAACATACATTAATGCAGCAGCCTTAATTATCTATTCATGCAATCTCCCCTAACTAAGACTTCTGTATAGACTTAATCCTTGTAATATTTATTTTGCCTTTGAGGGCACCAGGTGCCAATACGCAACAAAAAACTGTACGTCACCCCTTTAAGAACGTTTTGAGTTTGTAATTTTGCGTAGCGCCTCAATGACACAAAAGGGTGAGACAGCGAAATATCGTCTATATGATTCACTGCTCCATCTGCCTAGGATTCAATTAACGTCGGTACTCTAGCTCTCGCGGCTGAAGTGGCAGCAGTCACTTGAAATGAATGTCCAGAATAACGCAGTGGATTACACCCTGATGGATCTAATAATCTTCTCAAATGATTAATTAGTATATAACGATCAAAATACTTATCTTAGCAAGGGCTACTGATCTTAGTTTCGCGATGCCATCAAGAAATGTCGTTGTTCATGTTTTCGACTTGGAGATTTCTATGCCAAAATTAAATAGTTTCACAAAACTATGTATTGTACTATGTTTTTATTAAATGTTATTTTCATTTAAAAAAACACATGATGTTAAAGTTTTCGATTTAAATTCAAAAAATAAAAATATTTGTAAGGTTCTTTTCGTAGAGCCACTTTTCAAACAAAACAAATGTGATATAATGAAGTTATTGTGTGTTTATTCTTTTGTTTTCGTGTCACTTAGTATCTGACAATGCTTCGGTTTACTTTTCAGACCTGAAAGCCGTAATGCGTTTCATGTGTTTTTGTACTGTTATTCTTCGTATGAAGCCGTAGACGTTGTGTCGGTTACGGCTTGACGATCGGACATGTGTCTCGTTTGATTATTATTTTATCGTGGATTTTACGATGAGTGCGATTTAATTCTGTTTGTTGTATTGTCTATTGATGACATTCATCATAGTTAATGTATGTAGTGGCATCTTATTCGTCTGATGTTGTTATTAATGAAAATTTCAGTAAGATTAGTACCTATCTATCTTGTTCATGAATTTGTGATAAAGCAAAAGGACAAAAACATGTGGTTCTTAAGTATTTCTTTTAAAACATTTGCCAAGAAGCGATCTGTAACACAGTTCACAGCCAGTTCTCAAAATGTCAAAGAAGAATTACTGAACAGACTTTTAAGTCAAATTCGGTTTCTGTCCGCAGTTATGGTTAAACTGTTGATTGAAATTAGTTTTATGAGCAAACAACTTTCCGATTATTTTTTCTTTATTGAGTTGAAGAACAAGTGTACTGAAAGATCGAGGCACCTTCATTCTTAAAGACGAATATTACTTTATGTTGAATCGCCTGCAAGATAGGGTAAAGAAATTCTTTGTTTATGAATAGATAAATTCCACACACTAAGCAGAAGTATCTTCCGTTTAGAAATCTGTGGTGCCGATCCCACGAAACTTTTTACGGGACGGGGACCAAAAAAAGCTTTTTTCCGGACCATGATCGGGATCAGATGTTTTTGAAAATAATCTTATAATCTTATATGAAGCATAAAAGTTTCTTAGTTTCTGTAGGTTTTGCGCACCAGTTTTAGGAGAAAGAGCTTACACAAAATTCTAAAAAAATTCAGTTAATAATCTCATCTCATTAAAGTGACCATAGCAATAAAACCTTGCAGTGCTCACCATGGTGAGCGTTCACTGTAATATTTTATTGCTTACTTGCAGGAATACTTAGGTTAAGAGCAGGTACAATCCGTTTATACTTAGCTGCGGTTACATTCCAAGCATTAAAATCCGGGTTAAAGATCCCTTGGGACATTCAAATGGTACTCAAAAGTTTTTTATCAGTACGTTACAAAAAGCAGCAGAATGGTTCTAAAAATCTCCAAGTCGAAAACGTACACAATGACATTTCTTCACGCTGAACATTTAAATAAAATGATATCACACATAGAAATGATTGACAGTCTGGCAATAACGACAGATTCTGGTTGGATGAGGAAATCAATGCATATTGTGTTTTAACAGAGTATTGCATCGATACAATACTCAGATGACATCAGTTATCTACCATTTCCAAATTTGTTCACAAGCGACATTTTGGACTGAGCAGAGTTGGAGAAATTAGAAAATAATTAGCGGAATTGAAAATGTGTGATAATATTACATCCATTACACGTGACAGGCCCCAAAATATGATCCCAGTGTTTAATAACTATAGCCGACATAATATTCAACGAATATAATGTTTTGCTCATAAACCTACATCTCACAGTATGCAATGGTTTAAGTTTATGGCGCAGGAAAAATCCAGTTAAAAACAACTTCAGATGTTAAGAGACGTTCCATGAGTAAATCGAGTACCTTTAAGCAGGCCTGTCAATCGCGAAAAATAGATTTTGTTAAGAGTTTCATCATTCGACGTGGCATGAAAAACTGGGGTCACGAAACTTTTTAAAACCTTATAAGTCCTTTTGCTCTGGAGAAAATCAAGTTTTTCCAAGACCTAAGCCTAAAAAACCCGAAAACTGACCAATTTCAGCTTTTTATGTATAAAACCGTCAGTTTTTGTTCGACTTTTTTGAGCGACATTTTATACGAAAGAGCGTACAAAACTGAAGCGTACAGTTCAGTAGAGGAAACCGATGAAGATGATTATGAGCGATTAAGTCAAAAATTAGTCAAAATATCTCTTGATAATACATCCGATTTTAATATAGATGAAGTAAACAAGGAGGTTTAAAAGTTTTTATTAAACGCATATAATCCTGGTCGTCTAAAAACGGAAGCTAGAAACACACAAGTGGACATTTTCCCAAAACTGCAATACAAGTGAACCTGATTAGACGAATATAAACTGCCAGCTTACAGATATCTTCATCATAAGAAGTTTTGTTCCAGATGCAAGGCGTAGAAAGGAATTACTCTGATACAAATAGTCTGTGGCCTGAACATAACGAAATGAGGAATTAAAATTTTTTAAATTATCATGAACTGATTTGTTAATTCAAAATGACTTACGAGGGAACCTCTTGAGGTTATAAATCGCTTTTAAACTAGTACTACTTGCATCTTGTAAACCTCAGTGAGTGGGAGAGCAAAGTTTAATAGACGAAATCGTCAGTTGTGACAACTTTCGATCAACGAAATTTTTGACACTTAGATATTCTGGATGAGCGCGACGAGTTACGTTGTGCAACGTCAAGATCAGACAGAAAGGAAAATAACGTCAAGGAGAATAGGAACAAGCTGATTGTCAATTAGTTAATTTGACGATGGATTAGACATAAACTGTGTTATGCTCTGTTTGCAATTAGGACAGCTTATAAAAGTAATCATTGTACAATGTAACTGGTAACGAAATACAGTTATACAAGTACATAATAACTGACAGTTACGTTAGCGGATTACTGAGTAAACTCAAAATGGATACTGATTTTTCTTCGGCATACAGTGAAAAGTGATTGGACACTTGGATTCCTTAACTCCAGGGTGCGACTTTTATATCTAATGAGGGACCCTCATGAGGTTATAAATCGGTTTTGAACTCGTACTACTTGCATCTTGTAGACCTCAGTGAGTAATGAAATACCCTAAGTTGGTTTGTGCCCGTAGTGCTTTAGTACGGAGTTATGCCTATTTCAAGTTTTGGTCGAAAGACACGGTTTTGACCCAAAATCTTTGATTTATCAGTTAAACAAAGTCCGACAGGCGTGACCTTTTTAGTATGACCACTAGTCATACTGGCCATGCTTCACTGAAAGTTTGAGCTGTTCAACGGCTTCCACAGTTTTCGAAAATTTTGAAAATTTTGCGAAATTTGCCGTTATTACGTATGAATGTGTCCCGAGATGGAAGCTTCGATAGAGCTGATATTTTAAGCATCTAAATAGGTAGTCATGAACTAAATATGGTAAAAGTTTGAGCTCATTCCAACACCCCCAGGCGCAGCTATGTAGTTTTCATTACCAGTAGTATGTGTGCAGATCAAACGCTAGCCATCTGTCGATAAGTTTCTGATAGATTCACACTCTCGAGACATTCAAAATCATCAAAATTTAAACAGAGCTAATTCGACTAGACTTTTGGCGAATGTTTGCTAAACATTCTAATTAAATTCTCTGCGGAGTATACCTCTGTGTCATGATTTGTGTAGAAGTAAATACAAGACTTCTAATGAATATGGTGTCATCCGAATATTCTTTTCCGCATGAATGCATAATAAATGAAGACGGCATGTCACTAATACGCCAAACAAATTGTTTTTTCAAGGTTTCAGTATATACTTTATTAATAAGTTAACCATGACTCACCGGTAAAGACAAAGTGTAGTAAAGTGTTGCTTTGTGAAATGTTTTGAATTTCCTCCAGAGCCGAATAGGAAAGATCTTGTTGACAAAGTTTCTCTATAAAGAAGTCGTTGTCATTATAAAAGGTGAAAATAAGTAATAGAAATTCGACCTTATTCGTGTAACGTCATCATTTTTATACAGATTGTACGTAGACTTCCAGAGGCAACAAAGACATAGAGTTACTTCTCATTATTCAGAAAAGACAACATCGCAAAAGTATTTCAAACCGTTCAAAATATAATGGCGGATCCCGTTTCGTTAATACTAGCTATTGTGTCAGCTAGTAAAACCACTCAACAAATTGTTACTCAAGTCAAATCTAATCGATTACAATGCCAATGATTAACGGACCGTGTTAATGCTCTTATCGCTCCATTAATAAAATGGAGTTCAACTGCCGGTAATGATTGTCCAGAATTAACACAATCATTGGCTAATTTGCTCAACTGTCTTATTGATTGTAAGAAATTAATTGAAAAGTTTACAAAAAGATCAAGTTTAATTCGTGCACTGACTAGCAGTACCTTTATTGAAGAATTCAGTGATTTAAATAATCGTCTATGTCAATATGGTATTGATTTAAGTTCAAGTGTTAATATAACTGGTATATTTGGTAAAAAATATAATGAAAGTGATCAACAAGTACACATCGATCGAAAACAAGATTTGTTACCACTGCAGCATATCACGCAACCATTAGAAACGAAATCTTGTTCCTCAAACAATTCAGATTTAAAAGGTGTCACTCTGCCATCGTACGAGAATTACATCGGATTTGAGACTTTTATATTCGATGAGGTATCGCCACGTTCACCCTCATATCGTCTTTATCCCAAGATTTATTCCGTGGAGAATTAATTCAACCATGCGCGTTTGTATATCGGACGTGAGAAGTACCACTGTTATCCATCTGGCAGTATGCAGATCTTATCTAGTGAGAATATCTTTTATCTCATGCAGTACAGAAAGAACAGCAAATCAAAATCAATCAATACAATGGACGCAGAAAGTTTGAGAAAAAAAAAATAATCTTCTCGCATTCAGCCTCAGGGACCCGCTATTATCGATCTGAATGATGTTATTTAAACTTTTTTGAACAATTCACATTTATCTCTATCTTGTTTATAACATTTAACAGGTGTTGCATTTTATCTAGTAAAATTACAGGCTTTGTCTAATTCATTTTGAAAATACTGATGTAAACACAAACGATCTTTTTCTCTCTAGCTAGTTATAACTGTAACGATTTTGGTCGGACTCGCTTCTTTCCATCATACTAGACGTTAATCACAAATCCGTATAAGATAGGTCAATTGAATAAAACTCTTTTCTTTTCGTCTTCAGAAGACGGATAGTTTGGATTTACGTGTTGTTGACATGTACGTTTTCAGTAAAATCCACATTATTAGATCAAAGTGAGCGAAACCTCACACAACGTTGAACTAATTGCGTTTCACTTTTGCCAAAATTTTCATATCTGCACCAAGCACGTTTTGAGAACGGAGCTCTCTGATTTGGAAATGTCAGTCAGTTACTTCCAATTCATACATATAAGTACTAAGTTTGCTCTATTTGAAATTTTATGTACTCTAACATGTTGAACTCTCTGAACAATAAATTCTGATGTTATGTCATTTTAACATAACGAGACCACAAGTTTGACTGTCGAGCACGATAAAATGTTCGAAAACAAGAGTCCTCTCGAGAGAGAAGGAGGAGAACCGGCAGCCCTGGTTGTCTTATAATACATCATCAGCTTTCACTCTTTCGAAAGGGCGATTGATTTATCTGTTTTCAAATTGTATGTATGACTAACTTTTATTTGTCACAAAAATGAAAAACTGACGATGTCTTCGGATACATAAAAAAGAAATCCAACTTTTCGGTACGACCGAGGATAAAGGCAACGATGACTCTTCAGTGAAATGAACAGAGGTATTGCCTTTTACTAGGTGTGAAAAAAAAAGAAAGAAAAGGCAATTACCAAAAAGAAAAGACGAAAAAGGAAAAAATAAAACCTGTAAAAAGCTGGACGAACGTCGTCAAATGAATAGTACAAAAAAGAGAAGAGAACGAATGATCGTATATAATTGTATAGTCGTAGATAGTCTGTATATGGTCATGCGCATGTACAAGGAGAACAGAATAAAAAATGTGCCCTGAAAACTGATCTGGACGAAAACGAGTCATAAATCTAAGCAGTTAGTTCCGAATAAATGGCTATGATAAAACTGTAAAATATTTAAGACAATTTGATTAAAACCTCCTTGATAATCGAAAACAAAAAGCAGAGGTTACATTAGAAGTTTTGTTTACTTTCCGTTCATATTCGTTACTTTCACGTTGCTCCTAGTACAACTTGTTACTTTTGATTTTTCAAGTTCAAGCTGCATCTTCTCATTTTCAAACAGAGGAAAAATTTTACGATTCTTTTGTTCAGCTCCTTTGTCTTAAATAATATAAACACAATAAAATCCGAACGGAGTACGCTCAAAAATCCCATCAGACAGTCCACTGTGAATTTTATTTTATTTAAAGAAAATAGTCGTCATAATAGTTCTCATTTATCCTGTTATCAACTATCCATTCTTCGTCGTGTTTCCCCTAGTCAAAACTACAGCTAGAACAATAACAATAATAACAAGAATTACAATAATCAGCACTATTAATATAACCCACCATTTTAAATTATTCCACCACAGTTTACTTTTAACTTTACCCGCTGTCTGCTGCAATTGTGACGCTTGGTATTGTAAATTTTCACTTTGATTTTGTAATTGATCTAAATTTTGACCACGATCCAATATTTGCACCAAGTTGTTTCTCATTATATCATTAACTTCATTTACATTCAATTGTAATTGATTTAAATTTGTATTTATAGCAGAAGGATACTGTTGGTGTTGAGCATAGTAGTAATAAGATGGATCAGCTGTTGTCATTCTTCTTTTCGTCTGTTATACCGTTAGTGTAATGTGAAGTATAATGATGAACGAAGGCTTAGTATGTGTGCTTGTGTTGTTTTGTTATATTTTTCTTTTTATCGGTTACTCATAGAAAGAGAAAAGTTGCTCATGCATGAAGGAACGTATATACATCTATATACACAGTAGGAGTGTATAGGTAATATAACAACAATGCTTCATTTTACACAAAACCTCGGTGATGGATTAAAAACACGCTGAGCAGATTTGGCAATGAATTGTGCATTACCTTGCTTCTTAACAATAATAAAGACGTTTGGCGTCTTTTATTATTCTATGATTTTGGCATAAA